ATTCTCGTGACATTCCATATCTGGATGGAGACACCGAATTACAGATTTATATTTTTCATGTTTTAAATTTGCCTTGTTTTTAGAGGGAGTGGTATTTTAGGCAAGGTGTTGCAATGGCGTTTGTAAAAGGGGCTTCAATTGAAACTTATGGATATTTATTTGACCAGTACTTTGTGTAGTCTACTTTGCTGTGAAGAGTGGTCCAAACTACCTCGCCATTGCATCCATGGTGGACCTGAGATTTTAGTTTACTTTTCTGCTTTAGCAATAAGATTCCTGTCGACAGCTTTTTTTAAGATTTGAAGCAATCAATGTGCAATGACTGAGTTCTTAAAGGTGGTCATAGGTCCCAGTATCATCTGAGGTGTGATTTTGGGTTGCCCTTATGGATGGGTTTCTCAGCCATGCATCATTTAATTTCTTTAAGAACTTAATAATCCTTAGTTTTGTGTTTTTGATAGCTTTTTTCTAGAGGCAATTCTAGATGTATGATATTGGATTCAGTAATTGTATTTTCTCTGCAGAGTTGAAATCTAGCTCCCCTGATCCTTATGGTTTCTGAGACCCTAAGTCAATAATAGGCATAACAAGAGACATATTGGCTAATAACTTCTCCTTTTGGTGGTTTTATTACAATGTGAAGTGTTGGAAGCAGTGGTACTTGCACATCTAACATTTTTCTCTTCTGTACTACTAGTTTTCTCAATGGAAATCAGACTGGAAAGTTCAGCTATGGGTATTCTAGTTTCAAAGGAAAAAGGGCTTCGATGGAGGACTTCTATGAAACAAGAATGTCTGAAGTTGACGGGCAGATGGTCGCTTTTTTTGGTGTTTTTGATGGTAGGAGCTAATATTTTTTTGCAACTTTATATCATTTTATTTGTGATTGAATCCGAGGCATGATTTACATCTGGGGTTTCCTAAAAATTGCTTCTATCTTTATGTCACATACAGCATTTAATTTGTTCAATTCATTTAAGAACTCTCCTTTTAAGATTCCTGAGTTGTCTAATGAGATGCATAAATTCTTGTTCTTTTCCCTAATTTCATGGATGCTGCGATGTCACGTAGGTCATGGAGGTTCCAGAACAGCTGAATACCTTAAGCGCAATCTTTTCAAGAACCTAAGTAGCCACCCAAACTTTATCAAAGACACAAAGACTGCCATTAGTAAGAAGTTATAATGTATTCGTGCATATGATATCATTTTTTTCCTTTTGGCTTTGCTATTGGAGAATAAACCGGGAAAAATGCTTATTCTACAGTTGAGGTCTTTAAACAGACCGATGCCGATTATATTAACGAAGAGAAAGGGCAGCAGAAAGATGCTGGCTCAACTGCATCAACTGCTGTTCTGTTAGGGGATCGTCTCCTCGTTGCAAATGTTGGGGATTCCAGAGTAGTTGCGTCTAGAGCTGGTTCAGGTTGCATATTTTTTTCTGTAATTTTACTTGGTTTTAATCTAACATGAAATGGTGGATCGAAACTTTTTGTTCAATCACTGCATAAGTAATGAAAATTAAGATTTTTTGGAATGAATGGATATGTTGCAAATCTTGTGCTATGAAGTTGTCAGATACATTATTCATTTGTTGCACAGCTATTCCCCTCTCTATTGATCACAAACCTGATAGATCAGATGAACGAGAAAGGATTGAACAAGCTGGAGGTTTCATTATTTGGGCAGGTAAAATACACTAACTTTTAGATCATAGCCTTGTGCACCGCACTCAATTTTTTAATTGTGTTTAAATGATACAATATATGTTCCAATGTAATCATAATGAATAAAGTTTATCTCGACGTATTTTTGTTTTATTTATATATGCGCGTGTATGTATACACACACACACACACTTGAAGAATATAGCTGCACTATCCGCATTGTGAATTTTCATTAGCGATTTTCCTTTTCTGTTTATCTATGGCTAGCATTAAACAGCAATCCTGGTAATACACTTGAACAAAAAAAAATTTGTCCATCAGTATTTCCATCTTTTACAATAATTATCGTATTGCACAAACTAATCTTAACATTAGAGTTTGAAATAAAACATCTAATTTGATGCAAAACTTAACCCAGGAACTTGGAGGGTTGGTGGTATTCTAGCCGTTTCGCGTGCCTTTGGAGATAAGCTACTCAAACCATATGTTGTTGCTGATCCTGAAATACAGGTTTGGAAGCTATCTTTTACAATATGAACTTAGTATGTATTTATTTGGTCTAGCACATATGAATTATCAGCACAAGTTGACTATGCTCTAATTATTTGTACTTGCATATGTTCTCCATCAAATGTAAATGAAATTTATCCCGAAGATTTTGCAACGTGCTAAGACCGTTGAATTTAACTAAGAGGCCATTGTTTCAATTCTTTCGTGCTGCTTATGTAGTTTCAAACTATTTGGCATTGCATGTTGGTGTAATAATTTAGTTAAAAGTCATATGCTTAAAACGCTTTATATCGCTGGACAACCATATTTGGGGACAGGATTAGCAGTTAACGATCTATCGTTCCAATCTTCAAAATACTAAGCCCATAACCATAGGTTTGTATTTTGAATGTTTATCTGTTTCCTTATGCTTTTATAATTGCTTCTGGAAATCTGGAAGAGAGCTTTGCTTTTGCTGTTTTTACCTGCTTCCTTTACACTGATGTCCACTCATCTGAACAGGAAGAAGAAATTGACGGTGTAGATTTTATTATCATTGCAAGTGATGGACTTTGGAATGTTTTATCAAATGAGGTGATTGTTCATTCAAATTACTTTGTATTTCACTGTATTGTTCTATTAGAAAGAGTACTTATTCATTTATTTAGTTTTTTAAACAAAGATCTGTTCTGGTTCTGGTTTTGGTTTCGACATCTTAATATGTGATAATGCCAACTTGAAGATCTTATAAAGAATGACTATATGGGATTGGAGGGATTCATATAACGACCCAAGCCCACCGTTAGCCGATATTGTCTTCTTTGGGCTTTCCCTTTTGGACTTCCCCTCAAGGGTTTTTAAACGCATCTGGTAGAGAGAGGTTTTCAGTCTTATAAAAAAGCTTTGTTTTCCTTCGCAACGATGTGGGATATCACAATTCACCCCCTTCGGGGCCAGCGTCCCTGCTGGCACTCGTTCCCTTTTCCAATCGATGTGAGACTCCCCAGTCCACCCTCTTCGTGGCCCAATGTCCTCACTGGCATATCGCCTAGTGTCCACCCTCCTTCGAGGTTCAATCTCCTGGTTGGCACATCGCTCGGTGTTTTGCTCTGATACCATTTGTAACGGCCCAAGCCCACCGCTAGCAGATATTGTCCTCTTTGAGTTTTCCCTTTCGGGTTTTCCCTCAAGGTTTTTTAAACACGTTTACTAGGAGGAGTTTCCATACCCTTATAAAAAATGTTTCGTTCTTCTCCCCAACAATATGGGATATCACAATTCAAGTCATTTGGCCTTTCTCCATTCGAAACCAGTGGACTGAAAGGAGAGAGAGAGATAATTGTCAAGCGCTCTTCTTCCATGTCATAATCATCGAACCAACTATCCCACGACCACCCGAAAAAGGATAAGGCAATACCATTGTACTGCATAGACTATACTAGAAAATCCGTAGGATGATTGAAAAGCACTGCTAGTCTTTGCGGCATTGGCAGAGTTTTTTAGTTGTGCAATTCCATGCTTGCCAGAAGCTAGAGTCGGCTACTATGATTTTCTAGTTTCAGTAGTAGACACAGAATGCTCAAATCAAACCACATATTGTCTAAGTTTGATATCCGTTTTGGGGTTTCCAGGATGCTGTAGCATTGGTGCAACACATTCAAGATACAGAAGTGGCATCAAGAACACTAATCCAAGAAGCCTATGCTCGAGGGAGTTCCGACAACATTACATGTGTCATTGTACGATTTGGTCTATCGTAATTCGATACAATCCATCAAACTTGTATGAAGTAGCAAATGGCAGTTCTTTCCCATGGAATGCCATGACTAACTACAGTTACTGGTCTTAACACGGCCTTCATCCTTAAAAGATTAGCTGAATTGTTTGTTTATATTGAGTAGAATATGTAACTTATCCTAGCTGTGCTCAGGACGTTCCTGCTCAATCTGTAGACTGCTTAAAACGTTGCCTTTATATGTATATGACAGACTGATATGTTCACTTTTGATTCAAACTCGTGTTACGGATGTCTTTTTCACTGCGTTTTCTCAACATTATGCTTTCTTTTCTCCTTCGATTTTTACTTTGCAATATTTTAACTTTTTGTGAACGTTTCAAAACTGCTCTTAGAATATAAAATTTTAGATGAAATGATGTACGACAAAAGGGGTTCTTATACTTAAAATTGATTTTGTATTAATGTGATTAATGATTGATATTACTTAATTTAAGTTTTAAAAGTATATAATTATAATTATAGTTTAAAATAGATAATACTGATTAGTAGCAAATCTCTTGCATCATGTGGGGGGAAACAAAATCTCTTATCTTTAATGTTAAACATTTATAAAATAAGTTGCACAGAAATCATTAAAGTTGCCTCTTTTACAGTTCCATCCTCCTATAATTAATCATTATGAAACATGGAAGGTTGGTCCATACGAGGATGAAGAAGTACTTTTTTAAAAATAATATATTTAATATAGAAAATTAGTCAACAATTGGTTCTATGGTGTAGTGGTTAGCACTCTGGACTTTGAATCCAGCGACCTGGGTTCGACTCCCGGTAGGACCTCTTTTTTCTTTTCCACATTCCCAAAACTGCATCTCGGTGGGTCCAATCAGAAAGCCCACTAAGAAAAGCTGAAGTAGCCCAAGCCCAGCACACAAATGAGGCCCAAAACAGGCCGCCGACAACTTACGAGGACACGTGGCGATATATAAGAGAAAAAAGTCTGAGGAGGTCGCTGCATCATAAGCACCACTTTGTTGACAGTTAGAATACACTGTTTCCTCCCGCGAAAAAGCAGTTTGTTATAATAGTTTATTTGTGAAGAACTGGAAAGGCACGAGAAGCTAGTGGGCGGTGGGGTGGGCGAAGCGAAGCGAAGGGGCCTTCCGTCAGACATGGCCCTATTTCTCTCTCTCTCTCTCTTACTTTTTCCCATCTTCTCTGCTCTCAACTTTCTACTTCCACTCCCAGCTGTTGCTGTACCACTCCAGTGGGAGCCTGCTCTTCTGAAGATCCCTGATCTAGGTCTCCACCAATATGGTGAACGATACTGAGTATTACGACATTCTCGGTGTTCGTCCTTCTGCTTCCGAGGACGAGATTCGTAAGGCCTATTATCTTAAGGTTAGCTTTTCTGAGACTGGTGGATTCATTGATTGATCGATTGATTGATTGATTTTATAAAAAGGATTTTTGAGTTTCGTTCTGTTAATTACTTGATTCTTGTGTTGTTGGAAATCGATTAGGCATAATGAGCATGAATTGCATAATTAGTCTGGTGTTTGACCTGATTGTTTTGGTACAGGCGAAGCAAGTCCATCCGGATAAGAATTTGAATGATCCTCAAGCTGCTGAAAGGTTTCAGGCAAGTATACTCTGGTTCATCGTCTTCTTTACTTTCTACGCTTCGTGTTTTGCATAATGCGGAACTTTTCCCCAGCGGCTGAAATTGTGTCGAATGAGATAATTTAGCTTACTTCTTGCAGGTGTTAGGTGAAGCCTATCAAGTTTTGAGTGATGCAGTCCAAAGAGATGCATATGATAGGAACGGGAAGCACAGTATTACTAGGTTAGATCTTAATTTGTATTTGTGGTTTTCTTCATCCACGCTGATGTCATTTTGTTCAAGTTATTTAATTTTCCTCTGGACTGTTGTTTGATGTTCTTTTCGATAATTTGCTGTTTTTTCTTTTGACATTATTGGATCTTTTATGTTCAGGGAATCCATGCTTGACCCTACTGCTGTCTTTGCACTTCTATTTGGAAGTGAATTGTTTGAGGACTATATTGGACATTTAGCCGTAGCATCAATGGCTTCATCTGAATTAGAGAGCGAAACTGGTAATTCAGAGAGATTACAAGATAAGTTGAAGGCAAGTATACCTTAAAGCACACAAATAACAATGAAGACACTGTTGTATCTAGTCAGATTCATGCTTTTGCTACAACAGTTTAGTTGGTGGCCAATCCTTCTCTAAACAACTTTTGTATCTATAAGCAATATTAGATAAGAAGGAATCCTTTTTCATCTTCCCCCCCCCCCCCCCCCCCCCCCCCCCC